TATTAGAGACGAATTAGAATAAGAGTGCAGGAGTGCATTTTTATTTCCCAGTTCGGCACTGAGTTACTTATTGTAATTTTTCTGTTTGGGAGCTATGGTAAAAGTACGCAGATGAGAAAGAAACGGTGACAAAATAGAGATGCAAATATTTTTAAGTTAAAGAAAAATCTCTGGGTGATATATCGACGACGTAAGTCCGCAATCACATATCCTGTTTGCGGTGTCTGAAAATCTCCGCCTCCGTACTATTTTTTTGAAGGAGGACAAATTGACATCATTCATTGAAACTTTCGCAGAATTTTCTTCACACAGAGAAGAAAAATCACGGCAGTTTTAAAAAATTGCCGTTGAGTAGCTTTCCGTTTAAAAATTAAAGTATGACAGGAAGTCTGCGACGACGTCGCAAACCGAGTTATATGTGATTGCCGACTTACACCGTCGATATGAATAATTATGAAGAATTTTTCCGGTGAAGTTCGGCAACATTTTCCATAAAAAGGGGAGAGGGATAGGGTGAAAAAGTTAAATATTAGGACTCAATATCCCAATAATGCCCATTTCTTTTTAACTTCTGATTCCTATCACTTCTACTGAAACATTTTGAGGCCGAACTTTGTAAGCAGCTATAACTCGAAAAATTCGAAAGAAAATGATTTGTCCACGAGTGCACGGTCTAAAATTGATGAATGAAAAACGAACATTTTTGCATGATTCAGTATGGAACGACTCCTTAAATGGTAAAAAACTCGCATTTTTCGCCAAAATCAACCTTCAGGCTTATTTTTAGGCTACTTCTATACATTCGAGAAGGGCCCGACCATTAGAAAACGATGATGCGTGTCGTAAAATATAAACTTTTAATGTGCCAAAAATCGCAAATTTTCGGGAATCTAGGATGAGCCAAAAACGGCCCTTACCAATGCCCCTCCTTTCCGTCAAGGATCACCCCTTTTAAGTAAAATTTACACAAGATGAACATCAAAAACAGTCCTAGTGACAAAATTTGACTGACTTCTCTCATTGACTGGATCCACTGTGTGCCATTAGTAGCAAAATACGAATACATTTAATGAAATATACAGACTTTTTGGAGGTTTGTAATAAAATAAAACAATAAAAAAATCCACTTTTTTCCCCCAGAAGAAACCTTCAAGTTAGAGCGAATATAAATTTGAGGTTAATTTTGAAAAAATTTAGTAAGTTAGTTAGTTATTTTATTTGTAGACATTCAGCATCCTAGGCTACTAACGTTTTTACAAAGTATTTGGAAGATGGGTGTATTGTATGGGAACCGAATCAATTTTCAGATTAAGGGAGTTACGTGTGACTAAGAGTGTCGGCCACCCCTTTGCTGTCGGGACTTTAGTAGGACGTCATTTTTCTCGACCGGGGGTGGCTATACCGCCACTATTGATACAAAAATTTAGATTTTTAAATTAAGGCAGGCAAAGAGTTGCAGTAGTTAATTGTAAGTTAGTTTCTATTTCATGTATTCATCATGTCCGTTTGCTCACTGTCTTTCCACCTGACTCCACAAATATTTTCCTTGATATAACATATTTTCATTATTATGAATAATGCTCTTAGCACAAATTGATCTGAATTAGGCCTCTATACTCAATTTTTCCTATTCTCATTTTCTAAAGAGCCGTGCAAGCAGTTAAAAATAAAAAAAACTGATCAGATATGATTTTATTCAAGTTTGGCGGAAATATAATTAGTCTTAAATTATAATTTCACTCATGTGAGAACAAGTTTCCATAACGCAGTTCCTAATTGCTCTGAAGAACATAATCGTTGCCTATAGAAAACTATCGACCGCGCCGAATTCAGTTTTAATTGTGACAGTGAAAAGGTCTTTGTCGTGATAGGATTATCTGGGTTGTATTTAGATAAAAAAAAATGCAAAATTTCGCCTTTAAAAAAAGGGGCAATGGCATTCTCTGAGTAAATATTTACAGGATTGATCTGAAAGGTAGGTGGAGGTAACGTAAATTGCTGTACTGCCTTCAATGTTCGGGGTAGGCCAAAAAAACATCTTCCGTGCAGAGTTACGTATCTGTTCGAGGATTTGCGTCATGTGTTCCTTACACATCTTGAAGTATTTTATGTTCAGTGGCACTTGCAGAATTCGGAATACACTATTAACAGTCAATATCAGATGTCGTTAAAATGAAGAGCCACTCCCAATTTATATGGGGAGACAGTACCTCCCTACTCCTTAGGGAGGCCTCAAAAACCGCCACTGTGCGGGAGTAAAGAAGGTTGGTCTTTTGCAGTAATCCATCTTACCGAAGGAAGAAACATACATCATTTGGTATCGAGGGGCAGGATAGTGCGTTACGAATCTTTGGCCTGCCGCATCCACTTTTGAAAATCACTGTCAACCAACTTGTAAAGTCCTTTCTATGATCAGTCACTTTCTTTTGTGTATGAATGAATGTGTACATGAGTACATGAAATGTATCAATTTGTCACCCTCCTGACATAATGGCGTAACTACACTCTGCAATGAGCCCTGTCATCCATACAATTCAATGCTTTTCAAGGCTCATCTGAATGTGTGCTTACGCCCTTACGTCAGCCGGGCGACGAATTGAGTGAATCGCAAGAATAAAATTGCCTCTTGTAATCACACTATCAAGAGGAGGTCTTCACTAAAAGCACATCGTTAGCACAAAATGTAAACAATACACCTACCGTTTGCGTTAACACATTTCACTAATTATATGTATTATTCACCTTACAGTGGTTGCGATGAACACACATTCATTTCACGCACCTGTGTGACTCGGTTGAAGAAATGGTACATTCGGTTATAGAACTAGACCTGCAGTAGATGAGTGTTCGTAGATAATGCGTCGATTTTGTATCCATTTAGCTTCATGTCTCACGTACATGTCTTAAAAAATAGAAGTAAAAAAGGGAATAAAGATGGATTCTGCCCGTAAAAAAGGAAAAGGGAGGGTGACATTTGTGCGAGGAGGTTCGAAACCATGACGATTGCACGACAGCGCGCTGCGTGAGGTACGAATAGTCACTCGTGGGAGGAGCATTTGTGGAAAATCAAATTGAGAAATTGAGGCCTCGCATGTCCACACGAAGAACGATAAAGATCAAAAAAGAACTTCGAAGAACTTTAGGCGAAATTGTTCAAGGAAATTGGTATACGTCACCTATAACTTGTTCCTGGACCAACATTTTGCGGAACAAAAAAATAAACTCACCATATTCATCTGAAAGAGTGTGGTTCATATCGGAGATATTAGCATTCAGTTCGTTAGCACTTCAAAAAAATGTCTGAATTTGTGTTTTGAACTAGATAAAAGTTAGTATTTGAAGATTTGTAAAGAGCCCCATGTCCGAAATGTATTAAAAAAGTTCAAATAACATGCAAGTAAAATAGAGTGCTCAAAGTTTTTTGCCCTGATGCTGTTAACGTATTTCGACGGTGAAACTACCAAACCACGTATCCCGTTTGCGGTGTTTAAGAATCTACGCTCACATTTTATTTTTTTGAAGTAGACCAAATCAATATCATTCCTTGAAATTCTCACGGAATTTTCTCCGCACAAAGAGGAAAAATCACAGGAATTTTCAAGACTGGATGTTAAGTAGTTTTTAAAAAAAAATAAAGTATGACAGGAAGTCTGCGACGTCGCAAACCGAGATACGTGGTTTGGTAGTTTCACCGTCGATTTCTTTCAGAGAGGCAATTTAAGTTTCAAAAAATCAATATGTTGGCGGCCAAAGACCTAATGAACAAGGTAAATGAACTAACAATAAGTGAAACATAGTTGGATCAAGCACATGGGGTTTACGTGTTTTGTTGTTCCTTTCAGATCCGCTCGTCTGTGGAAAGATTCTTTGAGAATTAGTAAGAACTAACATTGTGCTGCAGGAAGTTTCACCGGCAGTATCATCGCAGTTCGAAGGCATCGTGAAGACTCTGAAATGAGAGCCATTAAGGATAGTGGTGCTTTCACTCAAAGCCTTCCCACCACATTTATATCACTACATAGATCTGCTCAACATTTTGAGACTCCTCCTTCCACAAAAAAAAAAAAAAAAAAAAAAAAACTGCAAAACTTTGTGCCGAGAAAATAGTTGTTTGACGAAGCACAAGTGGATTCATACTTCCAACACGGAGCCAAGAGCATTCCAATGTTGGTAGGATTGTGCGACTTACACTCTCTGTTATAAAAGCACTGAAATCATGCAAATGATTATATTTACAAAGGTAATTTTTGGCTTGAATTTACAGTTTATTGGGAGTGAAGATAGAACTTATTTAGGTGGTCGGTTTGTATTTACAAGGTGAGAAAAGTTGCATAATCCTAACAGCATTGGAATGCTCGTGTTTTTTTTTTTTTTTTTTTTTTTTTTTTTTTTGCAAAATACAATCGAATTGATACTTTAATTGAATCGGCGCATGCGAAAACGTCCGACGTCCAAGACGATGTTTCAGAATTCGAGTGGACGATTTCGTTCTAATTTAACGACACAAGATGGTTTAAGGCATTAGGAATGTAGAACAATTCTATAAATAATCCCCTAAATGTAATTAAACGTACAAAAGAGATCGATCTTATCAGTGTCGTGGGACAAAAGAAACCTGCCGCAATTATGAAACTCTGTATTGGACAACGGACGTTTTCGCATAAGTCGATTCAATTTATTTGGCAGTAGATTCGTTGTGATATAAGGTTGTAAAACTATGTCAAATTTCAGCGTTCGCTGCTAAATTGGTGGGTATTCAAGTCAACAAGGACCTCTAGAAACTGCGGAAAAGGAGGAGAAGTAGTGGTTTTTTTTTTTTTTTTTTTTTTTTTTTTTTTTTTTTCATTTTTTATTTTGAGGGCAGTACGTCGCGCAAACGCCATGGTTCCAGTCTCCTCCCGCAAAGGTCCTGCTCTCTTTTTTACGGGCAGTCTTCCTCTCTCTCTCTCTCTCTCCCTCTCTCTCTCCCTCCCTCTCTGGTGCTTCAATTTTTTAAAGCGTCCACGAGAAACGTGAGATTTTAAATGGATGCTAACGATGCGGTATTTTTTAGTGCTTCTTCGCTGCAGGTTTAGTTCTCTCTCTGGATGTACCACTTCTTCATCCAAGTCACGCAGATGTGTAATACAAATGTAAGTTCATCGCGACCTCTATACGGTGTATTGTAAGGATGACAGTGAAATAAGTGTACGCAAATGGTAGGTGTATTTGTTTACATTTTGGGATAATGAAGTGGTTTTGATACGGGCCCTCCGCCCAAGTAGCACAGATTGCAATAAGTAGCAATTACGTTGTAAAAATATTTCAATTCCGCTGAGAGTTGTATATATTGCCTAGCTCCTACTTGATCAATGCAATTCGCTGTTACTATGTATGTTAGCCCTGATGATGAACGCTAGTCGTTGGAAAAGCTTCGGCTCCCAACACCTGTGCATGTATTTGTGAGTAAAATAAAATATGAGCATCAAGGTTCCTGTATTATTCCTTTTTGTATTTCTCATAGATGCTACTCAACTCATGTTTAATCATATTGCATATCTTTCTGACGCACGAAGCTCACTTTGTTGATGGTACAGATCTGCATAAATCGACTAAAGGATGTAAAAATATTACAATTAATGGTAATAAAATTACCATTTTATTGAAATCAAATTGCGATTTAATTTCAATTTTTGCATTGCACTGTGCTGCTTGGGCACTTGCGAGTGTCTTTGGATTGATGTATATGTGATCCCTCATCAATTAATTCATTTCATGGGTTCATTCATTCAAACACTAGCGTCGGCATTGACAAGAGAGGCCATATCAGTATAATAGAAAGGCCTATAAGTTGGTTGACAGTGATGGCTAAAATCAGACGGGTGCTGGCCAGAATATTTATAACCAACATACTTTCTTACCTCCTGCTCCTTAATACCAAATTTTGTACACTGGGATTAAAAAGAATCTTAAATTTGCCGCCAAGAAGTATTTTTTCTTAAATCAAGAATTTGGCTGCTAAGTAAAAACAATTTTTTTGTTTAACCAAAGCATTATATTGCTATTTCATCAAGAAGAATTCAGCTTAAATCAAGATAAAATAAATTCTTGGCGGAAAATTCAAGAATCATCTTGCTTGAGCCAAGCACATTTTTTTCAGTGATGTGTGTTGGATCCCTGCAAAAGGTTGTCCTTTTGCAGGGATCCAACTTCTTATCATTCGTTCTCATCCACATCATTCTTACTCACCCACATTGGCAATTTTTGAGTCCCCGCTAAGGAGACACCGCCCCCTCATAAAATTTTTGGATGGAATTATCATTTTTACATCACCCACTTTTACAATTAATAGTGTGTACTGAAATCCGCAAGGTCCGCCGTACTTTAAGGTACCTCCTACTTAAAGGTCCTCTATCTAGATAACTCTCGACCGCCATCTTGGTCATCTTTTTGATCAGAATTTGACGGAAATTTGAGCGTGTAACCAGGCCATAATGAAAATATGTTACATCGAGGAAAATATTTATGGAGTCAGGTGAAAAGACAGTTAGCAAACGGACATAATGGATACATGTAATAGGTACTGACTTACAATTTATATATTTTCAAAGATAACCTCAAATTGATACCTATTCTTCAAATTTTCCTCTGGGAAAAAAGTGGATTTTTTTATTGCTTTCATTTATTACAAACCTCCAAAAGACTATTTATTTCATACAAGTGTATTATTCGTATTTTGCCACTGATGGCGTGCAATGGATCGAGTAAATGGGAAACGTCGGTCATAAATACTTTTCACGAAAATTACAAATTTAAGCACAAATCGCATTGTAAAAATAAGTTTCCGATGCGTAAGCGTCACTCTTTTAAAACATTTTCAAGAATGGTCATATCAAAATTGAAAATTCTTAAAATACATCTCGGACGAACATACTCAAAGTTTGTATTTGTTCTCTCACGGGTTCGATATGAAAGGACTTTTAAATGTCGAAAAACTCGCATTATTCAACAGTTTGACCCATCTGTATGCTACTATTTCACCTGAGAGAGGTCCGATGATGCCGAAACCATGATAAATCTGTAAAATATAGATCTTCAGTGTGCCAAAAATTTCCTTGTTTCGAGAATTTAGGGTTAAAAACGGCCCATGTCGATATCCCACTTCTTCTTTAATGAGGAAACCATTTAAACCACCTTTGAGACCTCAAAATTCTGTTTCAACCAACTGCTTTCAAAGTATCCATTGTTTCCGACTTCTTCAACTAACTTGCTGTCCTGAAGTCAACGCTTAAATCATTATACGTAGTACTTTTTTACCTTCCCATATGCTCATTACTAAAATTTGTCAGTAAAATTTAGAGTTCATCATGCATGTTTGCAGACAGACTTTATCCCATCATTTAACCAAGCACTAAATGAGAAACGAGATGATGCGCGAATATCCCAACAATTGTGTTCACGCTCTGCATTTTTTTTTTTTTTTTTTTTTTCAAAAACTGGCGCGTCACACCGCATACGCACTACTCTTTTTCTCCAAAAGACTTTTAGGATCCGTCGAAAAAACTATTAAATCGAGGAAAATTTACTTTTACAATTGGACTACATTTTGCAATTAGGAACTATAAATTCCGGTGCGGTTTAAAAACAACGTGCGTACCATTAGTTTCCCTATGATCATAAGTGTTACTTCAAATGAGCCAGAATTCATAGGTCTAAATTGCAAAATGCAGTCCAATTCATCTACCCATTTTCATGCCACATCATAGTGAAAAATATAGTTTTCATCATAGTTTGCATCACCTCTTGAGTGGATTACGTGCATTGGCTGCAAGGCCACTTACCATTCTACATAGGTAAGTAACAGTACCTGGTTAAAAATGTTCATCGCATTCAACCTTTTTTTTTTTTTTTTTTTTTTTTTTTTTTTTTTTTTTTTTTGGGGTGTGTCTTTAACCCCCACGAGTGTATCAAAATGAGCTCGCTCATATTGTATCGCTTCTGACTTTGAATCCCGATCCCTCGAAAAATGTAATTAAGTAACTAATTAATGAAAAATAATAAATAATAAGTGGAAAACTACTTTATAAGACACCTTTCTCACAAAAGTCGAGGAATCTAGCAAAATCTTCTGCTCTACAATTATGCCGGACTGGTTCTACTAAATTTAGAAAAAAGGTTCGCGGTTAACTCACCGGCTAACACTATTCACTCGTGAGGTCGACACTCCGGCACCGTCTTCTGACACTACATCGGAGGCATTCAACCTGTATGATCATTTTTTACGTGTAGTGACCGATAGCGTAGAATACAAATATGGATACCGTAAATAATGTATAGTCTGTATCGTGATCAATGATGGATAAACGGCATTAAATTATTTTGGATTTTGTTGATGAAATAACCGCTTTAATTCAAAATTTCTTTGGGGCCTCTTTCAGTGAACCAAAATTCATATTCCAAGAAAAGTGAGTGCCAGGAAGGACATACGTTCATTTCATCGTTGCACGGTTTCACCTGACAGTTCATTTATTTTCTAGTTCATAAACGAGTACATGTTGTGTACTGCGAATGGAGAATTTGCAAGCAATTTTTTTATTTCTTCGTCTGAAAAAGTTTAAAGAGCTCATTTCACAGTATTTTTTATAATTTTTCTCATAGGAGACATAGGAGAAAGTATAAAAATAGTTTTAAAAGTGAAAAAAATGCACCACCTATTGACGTCATCTGGTGGCATGTCCCAAACACGTATTTTAACACGTTTAAACACACGTATTTTAGCATATTAGATCATTTTGTCATATCTTCTCCAATAATTGTTCAATTCATGAACCAAGGGTATGCTCGTGTTCACTCAGTAGTTCCCACTTAAACATGAAATTCATCAAATTTCAGACACCTGCAAATTCTCTATACCAAAGAATCGTCCTTCAATCACACGGGAAAATTCACAACTTTAAAGGAGAGTTCGCAACCGTTCGTAAGTAAAGTAAGTAAATAAGTAAATAAATTGTAAGGTTGAACTTAGCGACGTTAAAATGCAATAGAGCCTCCCTGCCACGTACTACTTTACCCAACGGCATTATTAAAGAGCTTTCGAGTCAAGGACATACCGGGGATAACCTCAACTTTCGACCTTTAACATTGATTTTCCGTTGAGACTATGGAACTTTTTTTCAGTTTGTAATTTGACAACACCTCTTCCCGAGTTCAGGAGTCCATTGGCCATATGAATAATGGCAATCACACCCAGATGGACGCATCTTTGTCTCTTATCCCTAATAATTTTCTTCTGGAGTTTATGGATTCCGGCGGACTGTGGACCGGAAGAGGAGCCTGAGATTGAGTTTTTGGCACCACCTGCGCCTCCGCTGCCCGAACGCCGGCTGTACATGGAGTGTAGGGTCCCTATGCCGAACGATCAGATAAACTTGTTCCTATATATATGTGTGCAGAAACCAAAACCGGTAAGCTTTCGTCACCCTCTATACTGTTCTTATTCCACGATCAGCCCACCTCGAGACAGTGTTCGAAACTCACCTTTGAGTTTTAGGAGTCATGTGGCGCATCAAGCCCGATTTTTAGGCGCCATTGAAGATTTTTTAGGGGTCAAATCGACTATTTGCCTATAATTACGGCACAGTTAGTGACAAGTTAGACGCAAGATGTTTTTGTAACAGAACTAGTAAGTAGCTGTAACTTGGGGAAGACAAAAGCACTAAGAATGTAATCGTGAAGAATAGAAAAAGCAAGCTTTCACTTGTAGTGCTGAAATTGTTGAGTTTTTTTAAATTCAATTAGATTTGTTTTTCTCTCTTTATGTGACTTCCTGTGAAAATCCAGATTTTTAGGGGGCAATTTGTAGGAGTCACGTTGGCGCAGAGCCTTCATTTTTTAGGCGTCATGGCCCATTATTTGGGCGCATATTTGGCGCGTTGGCGCCTGTGAGTTTCGAACACTGTCTCTGGAAGTCGAGACGAGGTTTTATTGAAAATATTTCGTCTCCCCGGTTTGCTCTCTTATTTTATTTGCGGGTAGAGGAAGCACTATCATCCTATGGTCTTGTGCATACAAGCGTGGTTTGGGCGAATCAGCTCCACAAACCGAAGGGTTTAAGGAACAAGTTATATTTCTAAGTTATGATAAGTTCCTGGATAAAGTTTGCCCGAAGTTTTGCGATCCGTTCTCGTGTGGAAAAAGCCAAATTCACCTCTAATTCTAAAATTTTCGATTTAATTTTATTGCAAATTTGCGGAGAGAAGACATCCACAGCTGGAAGGTCCGCGGGTTGACAGGGGCCGGCACATGCGAGCTTTAGAAATAAGTCTACAGATATATCCGGAAAAAGAACCAGACATTAAAATGAAAGAAATGAGAAACATCGAGTGTCAGTCCGGCCGAGGATAGGAGAAACGTAATAAAGGGCCTCCTTTTTTAATGTTCTCCTGAATCTGAGTAACACCTCATCGGCAGCATAGAGCGGAATATGGCTATGAAGCACGTCTAACGCCGTCGCGCCTTCAATTTAGCAGATGCAACATGGACATCACTCAAGTTCATATAGTTGTATCTCTGCGCCGTCATCAACGCGCGTCCTTTCCTTTACTATATTTCCAAGTTGTGTTGGTTCCGTTTGTCTTATTTTTATATGTGTGCTTCATTGCTTCAAGCGCAACGTAAGCAACCAACCGAAGATAGGAAAAACTTGAAAGATTTTCATTTTTTAAACTTTTTCCCCAAATCCGAGCGACGCACCTTTTGCCAGCATAGAGATCAGCATTGCTATAGTTCACGCTTCGCGAAATAGCGCCTTTAATTTTGCAGATGCAACATGGATATCCATCAAGCACTAATAGTTGTATCTCGCCGCTGTCATTTTGTATCAACCCGCGTTAAGGTGTCTCTTGAAGTTTGAAAATCAAAATCATTTCAAAGAAAATAAGTTAAAAAAAAATAGTATCAACATTTTTGGCGGCCTTTGAAGCGTCCAAAAGGGCGCACGTCTAAGGAATAGTTGGGTCGTATCAGGAAATATTTTTTCGATGACGACCCCCGAAAAATGTAGAAAAAAGTATTTCTTATCTTTAACAAAATAGAAATAACATAGATAATACTCTAAAAACTATCTAAATCAATTTAAAATACGGGTTAATTTGATCCGAATTGGAACTTTGCGTAAAGAAAATGTCTCAAACATCGAAGTGTGAAACTGAGAACGGAGCACCAATGTTTACACTCGAATATCATCAGTAATCTTTGTCTACTTTTCATTCCTTCCTCTGCCCCTTCATCTTCCAATTATTCTGTTCTCTTCTCCTTTGCTTCTTACTCTTATTCTTATGTCTCCTTTTTTCTTCCTCTACTTTTTTTCCTTCTCTTGTTCTTCTCCTATTTTTCTCTGAAGTCTTTTCTGCTTCATATCCTTCTTTTTCCTCTTATTCTTACATTCCTCCTCTTATTTTCTTCTTCTATGATTCCGTATTGGCCAAAAGTCACTTCTTGTAGCGCACTCTGTCGCTCTATGACACCGAAACCCCAAAAGTGCTTGTCTTCCTACTAAAGATTATAGGGCAACTGCTAATGTAATTGACATCTTAGAATGTAACACCTCGACATCTGAGGATGATATACCTTTTACTCTTCATATTCTTTTCTTCTTCTTTTTTTTCTTTTATCTCTCTTCGTCACATTTTCCTTTTACCGCTTCCACTCTCTTGTTGGGATGGAAGGCAGGTTTGTGCTATTTGCCTTTCTCTCTAGCAGTCATACAGATTAATCTCTGGCTTCGAGATCGTAAAACCACACGGATCCTATCCAAACCTTTCTACTATTTAGTCGATTCTTGGGGATTTGCAAAAGTGTCTCCATTTTCTTTAACATAACTTTATTGAGTAATGTCACAACTTCTAGTAAAAGCGACGCCTTCTTTTATGTAAGTATGAAAGAGGATAAATATTAGGGTTATCGGATAAAACAGATCGTTAAATAATGGTTGCATTGTTATTCAGATTATACGGGCTATGTAATACATTCGTTCATCAGCTTAAGTAAGATAAAAAGTACCCTTTATGAGAAGGCATATGAGGGGGAAAGACGAAGCCCGGCCACCCCCCCCCCCCCCAATCTGGGACACATTCTGCAACAAGGAGATTGCTGGTCCTTTCCAAAATCCAGTCGAAGCTAGAGTACTTACCTTTATAGGGAGAGTATGGATAACTCGATTTGTGTAGCTTTCGGGGCCCAAAAGGGCGACAACGTGAAAAACGAAAATCACTGGAAAAGTGCCGCTGCCAACTTATGCATTTGAAAGATTAATCAATAGGGCCAATCTCGCATTATAAACAAGCGTTTTTAAGGATTAAGACTTTGAAACTTGGAAAATTTATGCAAAATCAAAGTTTTGTAAGTGCTTTATAATTTTTGATCAGTGTGCCTACTCTCGGAGTTTAAATAAGTACCACTGGATAATGCGAGTTCATATAGGTTGGCTGCCTTTTTGGCATAGAGTACATAGAGTCGTAATGTAAGTGGGAGAGCTGGCGCCACTTTTAAGCATTTTCCATGTCCCGAATTCCGAGACTCCTGTGTGACGCCGGGTCACTTTTTCGATACATGATCGATTGTTTGCGATACACGGGTACCCGGCCATCCGATGACAACAACAACAACAACAACAACAAAGGAGATAGGGATTACCACGTATTCCACACCGCCATTTTGGATCGAAAATGTATCGAAAAAGCGACCCGAACTCGGCGCACACCGGGCTCGGAATTCGTCGAGCAGAACATGGCGCCAGCTCTCCCATTTACATTACGACTCTATGTACTCTATGCTTTTTGGGCTCCAAGAGCTACATGACCTGATCAAACCTAACCTCCAAATTTTCGAGGTGTCCATACTCTCCCTATAAAGGTGCTCTAGTCGAAACGATAGGTTCCAGAACGGTGATCGAGACTTTTGATTTCAGGTGAAAGTGAGGTGTTGGCTTCTAGAGAGGCAGGAAGATATTCAGAGGGCCTACTGGGAAGCCAACTTCTACGTCGTGTCCGGGTTAGGCGTCTCGCGCGGTTGGGACTTCAAAATCTACAATCTAAAACACAGGTGGCCTGATTCGCTCATGATAGGTATCGAGCCAAAAATGAAACTGACCAGGCTTTTTCAAGGCGTTTGCGAGCACCCGGCCTTTTTTCGCAACACCGCCCGGAACTTGCTGGTTCCCGAATTCCTCAACGCGGACTCTCTCGATAGTTTACTCGACTTCTACTGCATCAATGATCTCCTCGTCTTCTCAAATAACTTCCAAATCCCAGAAGCCTCTTTGCCGACCTACCTAAAGGCTTTGAGGAACGTCATCGGTTTTTACGAGCAGCGCTTCGCCTCTCCGGCACCAGCTCCGAGAGGCAATCTGTCTCCGAGCTTTAGAAGATCAGGATTAATGAGCTCCTTCAGACGTAGATTTTCCTTCGGACCAAGTGTGAGTACCTATTTTGATTATTTCAATGGATCTTCAAACAGAGAAATCACTATATTACAAGGTAACGACAATCGAAAACACAGGAAAAAGCGGAAACAAGGCTAAAATACAAAATATAAAGGCAGGACGTTTCGGTACCTTACGGTAGGTACCATTATCCACTGCAAAATTGCAGTTGATACCACCGTTGCACCAATTTGCATAATAATGGTGCCGTAAGGTACCGAAACGTCCAGCGGGCTGATTATTGAAACTGATAGACAAAGCTATAGACAAAGACGACGAAAGTGATTTGGAGGGATCCTATTGGTGGAAGCGGGTGGTGGCAATGGACATAGGAGGTAGGTAATGGACTGACTAACGGCAACCCACCGAAGACCCGACAGTTAGTCCATCATTTTCTTCCTTAGTCTATAAGAACCAACCATGTCAACCAATAGGATCGCTCTATACTCCCTGTGTCTTCTTTGTCTATCGCTTTGTCTATCAGTTTCAATAATCGGTCTGCTGCCTTTATATTTTGTATTTTAGTAGCCTTAGTTCCGCTTTTTCCTGTGTTTTCGATTGTCGTTCCGTTTCGGGCTGCTTTTACATTCTCATTGTTTTCCACCCTTACAAGGTATGTATGTCGTCAGTAAATGGTCAAATCAGGCATTTTACAAATGCCGAGGCAATAGTCAAATGGACGAATTTCTGCTATACGGAGCTATAGACGAGTGGAAAAGATGGGGTGTGCTCTGGCTCTGGGAAGCTGCATAAGAAGCAATGTAGGTAAATGTGGGCGTGATTCCCTTTGGAGAAGTGGAAAGCAGGATATTATATTCTATCAAACGGAACTAAGCGCCAACTGTGTGTGGCATTTATGAGCCGTAAGCATGGCGAAAAAGTGTCGTGGACAGGGTTCATGAGTTTAGACGCCGTTGCTGATTGAGTGTGTGTGTGCTGAGTGTCGCCGCTGACGTCACTGGCGCTTAATAATTTCCACTCACTCTTACGGTCCTCGACTGACGGGCGCACCTCTTTTTTCCCACCTACCTCCGTTTAGCATAAATACGTCCAAATATTCTGAACTGGATTGCAATTCTCACCATTTTACTAATTTTAGACCAAATAATTTGTGTCTCCGAAAGGAAGATCTCTATTTAAAAATGTACATCTTACAGTGGTAGCTTTGGGATTTCCAGCCCGTCAAGGAACATTTTTCTCAATACGTAGCATGTAAAATTTATGAAGAAGAGGATCATTTGAAGGAGGAAAGACAAGACAAAATAGTAGATTTGACGATTTCTCACTTCCGATCCACTGAAAATTCGAGAAATTTTCATCAATGACATACATAAAGTGTTATTTGTTATATTTTGACTATTTGCCCATATATTTGATTTTTGACTTTACTATTTGCCTGCGCCATGTATAGCCTCATTAATCCTTTCAATACCGGATCAAGATTCACCGCATGATGTGCATCTCAAAAACCAGGTTCATACAAAAATACCGGTCAAGGGCCTTTTAAGAGTTTTAAACCCTGCCATTAGGTGATTCGATGGAGGCCATTTTTTGTATCAAAGCGACGTGCGATGCATCGCACCGATTAGCTCCATAATTTCAGCTACTTGTCATTTGCTTCAAATTTTGAGATCGCACTTCTGTTGTTATGAGACTGAAGAACTCATGTCCTAAATTTGATAAAGAAATTCAACGTAATAAAGGCGTGGTTTTTTTATAGAAAAATTATCGCATTCGATACTGATATCGGAACTGCACTCGAATGCGACATTTTCCCTCTAATAAAACCACGCCTTTATTACGTTGAATTTCTTTGTCGAATTTGGTACTTAGTTCTTCAGTCTCATGACAACAGAAGTGCGATCTCAAAATTCGAAAAAAATGACAAGTAGCTGAAATTATGCAGCAAATCCATGCGATATATCGCACGTCGCTCCGACACAAAAAATGACCTCCGTCGAATCACCTTAATCCCAAGCACAGATGCACTCGCACTCAGTATTATGGATGGTAAAAAGTAGTTCATATCCTCAGGAACAGGTAATGTAGATTAAAATTCAAAGTACATCAACACGGTGGGGTTCTACAGAAAAAATACGAACTCGTGGGGCAAAATTTTGACTTCTACGACTGATTCATGATATTAATGACCGAAAGTACTTCCTCTTTCAAGTTCGAATAAAAATTCACTTGTTATATATACTTGCACACCAGTGGCGTGGCGTGTTTTGCGATACATCGACTGATCTATTGCTTACGCCTACGGAAAAAGTTCGAAAAACAGGGTGTTCGCGAACACCTTAATAATCGATTCTTTACCACAGCTTTAAAGGGGGAAGATCGATAATCGATCAATCGCGCCCTGCAACTGCTACGAAGGGTACACTCGTAATCAGATAAGACCATTCATAAGGGGCAGCTAGTAAATCACGCAACGCTCTAAGAGGGCCGCTCTTAAGGCGTTGCGCCATTTCGTTTTTACGTTTTAAAGGATAGTCCTGCGTAACAGAAGCTATACAAGGGGAGAGTGAGAGAGGTTAATTATGTCGGAATAGTACGTTACATAATTTATGAACGCTCCCAAAAAATTCGCATTAAACGCAAATTCCATTCATGCTTGGGTGCCTAAAAATACGTCCGAAGGAGAATCATGTCAGCATTTTCCACGGGGTTCTAAAAATCTATACATATTTACATGAATTTTTTGGGAGCGTTCATAAATTATGTAACGTACTATTCCGACATAATTAACCTCTCTCACTCTCCCCTTGTATAGCTTCTGTTATTTGTCGGCCTCCTATGGTGTAGTGGTTGTAGCGCTTGCTCTATGATCGGGAGGTCCCGGGCTCGATTCCCGGCCAGGCGACCTGAGTTTGATGGTCTCAAACAATGGTTGCCTGGGACTGGTTCAGTAGGGACGGAGGGGGGATGGGACTTAAAGCGTGGGATTAGCCCTTGTGGGCTATTTGAAGAAGTAAAAAAAAAAAAAAAGAAAAAAAAAGAAAGCATATTTCACAATGTTTTCGTGTAAAGACAAGAGAGAGAAAAAAACGACTGACGAGTGTGATCTACTGAAGACGTCTAAAAACCTCATACCTCTATTTAACTAAAAAAAAAAAAAAAAAAAAAAAAAAAAAAAAACCTTCATACATCTCCCGGCACGATCCAGCTTACAAAGTATTCCTATACAGCAACCTAAGCTGGGCACTCCCCCCCCCCAACCTTACACTGATACTCATTATTTTGTACTTTAATTGAAACTTTTTGGAATTTTTTTGCCTTGCCGTCCCTCCAAAATAGTGTGGACATAGCACTTTTTTACCACCTAATTTTCGTTGATTGACTATATATTCGTCGGTGGATTTCACAAGGGGAAAGAGTTGCTGAAGTAACAATTCGGATTTTAAAAATCTGCGCGACAGCTCTCAAATGTTGATAGGAACGCTACAGTTGTTATCTCAACGTACGTAGGATGTTACTTTAACAGCCGGGGTGTCCATAACAATATTCAAGAGGTGTCGCGTCGTGCAGATTTTTAACACCCAGGATGTTACTTCAGCAAATTTTCTCCCGTGTTCTTATTAAGATCATGGATCTGACGAAAACCAAACAGGAATAAAGAGTTGGTAAAAAAAAATCTGCCGAAACCACCGTTAATTTCGTTGGTTAACTGACTAGGTATACAAAATAAAACTGCAAGTAATGAAAAATTAAAGTAAAAAAAGAGGGCAGGATAGGAAGAAAAACTGCGAAAAAGAAAAAACAGTAATTAAAATACGCTAATTTTCCATTTTACAGAGTGCGGCTCGGAATCGTGCAAGCGGCGGCGTAAGTAACTCCTTATTAGATTTTAAATTCTAGCTTCATGGTTTTACTTACTTGTGTACTCACACTGTTTACAATTGAGGAGCTTGGAAGACAAGGCGCATAAGGGTAGTTTTTGAATACATTGAGATAATGATAATTTCTAGTAAAGCTACTCTTAATGCATATTCTGAGATACATTCCCCCTCAAATTCCATTACTTAAGCATCAAAAAGTCGCTTTGTACTCATTTTTCCGCAGTTAGGAATACCTAATGCAATTTCAAAACTTGTCTTTTTTGTATACTTTCAAGTATTTCAAACTTGTATTTCTCGAAATAGCAAAAACTGCACTTAAGCACCTTGTCCTCCAAGCCCCTCAACTCATATCATTGGAAGTTATACTCCAGTCTTAGAAAAAACAACGGCACATGGCATTTTCTGGGAAACAAATCCCAAAGCACTAGCTCAACTTGCACAAGAAACAGAATGTGCGTTTGCGATTATTCATTATTTTTTTGCTACTTCGCGTAGTATACCAGGGAATATTTTGCGTGACAGAACAAGTAAAAAAATGTTTAACCTGGTTAAAAAAAGGAACGTTGTTAACAGTTTGAATTGCTGCCATGGATTGCTTGTTGCAGAGTTCGAATGGCTGTGTAGATTGATCATAAAAAAATAATGGACCACTAGACAAGGTACGAATTTTAGCATTCTGATACATGTTACTTACCTAAAATTTTACGTAAAATACAACGCGCACAACAAAAATTACCGAAATCAACTCCTTCAAAAGATATTCAATGATTCTTGATGCGTGAATTCAAACCACCCGCTCATGAAAACTCAATGCTCTGCGTGATTCACATCGTGCGCTGAACGTTATTATGACTGTCTCTGCGATATAAAAATCTGGCAACCTCAATCTTGACGCTTTGGCTCAGCTGTAGCAAATTGCTTATAGCTTGAACAACACATGGTGGGAAATGAACATTACTCGATTGAAAAGCTTGTTGAAACCGTTGTAGTGCGCGATTTGACTCACGTAGAGCTTTTAGTTTCTTGTGAGCGGGCAGTTCAAATTCCTCGTAACCAATGTGAAATAAAAACGTTAATATCCTCGTTTGGAGTTTGTTTCATTAGTTTACGTTGCGCGAATCGTGCTCTATGTGAAGTTGTGGTTAAGAGACATGTATCAGAATGCTTAAATTCGTACCTTTTCTAGTGGTCTATTGCTTCTGGTCATAGGTCCTGTTCCAACTAAAATGGACCACTAGACAAGGTACGAATTTAAGCAATCTGATACATGATACTTAACCAGAATTTCACGTAGAATACAATTAGCGTAACAAATATTACTGAAACTAACTCCTAACGAAGATATTAACGTTTTTATTTCACATTGGTTACGAGGAATTTGAACTGCCCGCTCACAAGAAACTCAAAGCTCTAAGTGAGTCAAATCGCGCACTACGACGGTTTCAGCAAGCTTCTCAATCAAAAAATGTTGATTTGCCACCATGTATTGTTCACACTATAAGCAATTTGCTATAGCTGAGCCAAAGCGTCAAAATTGAGGTTGCCAGATTTTTATATCGCAGATACTGTCATGATAACGTTTAGCGATGTGAACCACGTAGAGCATCGAGTTTTCATGAGCGTGTGTTTTGAATTTACGCATCAAGAATAATTAAATATCTTCGTAAGGAGTTGATATCGGTAATTTTCGTTGTGCTCATCGTGTTCTACGTGAAATTTTGGTTAGGAAACATGTATCATAATGCTGAGGTTCATACCTTGTCCAGTGGTCCATTAAATGTTTGCGCAGTATATCATCGATTTTGGGCATTTCTTTTAATCATGAGTGGTTTCATTTTGATCAGCTAGAAGATGTCACAAGATCCATAAATTTATCCGAGGAAGAGCACACGGTTGTGTATATTGTAAAACGGAGTTTTTACTGCAAGTCCCGTAATGTATACATAATGAAATGTCGAGTTGAGAACAAGAAAATCAGTTTTTAGTTCCCGCTTGTGCCTTATAAAAAAATTGCGCGCTTTTTTACAACATAGACAATATTCATTGTTTTTACAGTTTATTTTTATGAGTAAGTGATCATTTTGCACCTCAGGGATAAAAGGACTTCACGTTGTTTGCGGAACATTCTGTTGACAAATTGACTTTACGCATTACATATCGACAGTATGTAAGTCCGCAACCATGTATCTTGTTTGCGATGTGTGAAAATCTCCGCTCCTATTTTCATGTTTTTAAAAGAGATCAAACCAACGCACCATCCCTTGAAGTTTTCGCAGAATTTTTTTCGCCTTGAGAAGAAAATTCACGGCAGTTTTTAAGAGTTGCCGTTGAGTAGTTTTCCATTTAAAAACTAAAAGTATGACAGGAAGTCTACATCGTTTTGCAAAGTTCCTATTATTATGTTTTATTTCGTACCATTTGTTTGTTTTCAATCCTCCTATAAAAACTATTCATTTGCTGAATACACATCTGGCTGGAGCGTACTTAAGCTATGCATTCACAACTGCAAAAATGTTAATGGAAATCGAAAAGGCCAGCGTGCATGAAGGCTATTTCAATTGTGATCTTCCGTCGCATTTCTAAGGCGCAATGATACAACTATTTGAACTCTCCGGAATGCGCGAGGTATCACGCCGCGTTTGAAGGCGTTTTCAAAACAGCCAAGTTCCGATACCCGGATTATCGTTTCGCATACTTCATATTCTTTTGTTGGATTCCGTAACACTTGTTTATTTTTAATCCTCGTTTAAAAACCACCCATTTGCTAAATACAATTCTAGCTGGAGCGCACTTAAGCTATGCATTCACGACTGCAAAAATGTCAAAGAAAATCGACAAGCCCAGCGTGCATGGAGGCTATTTCCATTTGGACCGCGTTAAACAGAAAGGAACCAAGCCACATGAGCGATTGCCAAATTTGATCGGGCAATTTAATTTTTTACATGAAAACGGTTATGCGGAATTTTGTGCAAATTTCAGTGAATTTCCTCCATAATACAAAGCAAATTTCTTAAAATTTTCTAAGGAATCTGCACGAACGTTCTCACGTAAAAAGTAACATTTCTCTGTTAAATTTGGCAATAGCTGATGTGGCTTGGTTCCTTTCTGTTTAACGCCGTCCATTTTAATCTTCCGTCACACTCTTACGGCGCAATGATACAACTATTTTAACTCTCCGGAATGCGTGAGGTATCACGCCGCGTTTGAAGGCGTTTTCACAACAGCCAAGTTCCGATACCCGGATAATCGTTTTGCAGACTTCATATTCTTTTGTTATATTCCGTACCACTTGTTTATTTTTAATCCTCGTATAAAAACCACCCATTTGTTAAATAAAATTCTAGCCGGAGCGCACTTCTGCTATGCATTCACGATTGCAAAATTGTCAGAGGAAATCGACAAGGCCAGCGTGTATGAAGGCTATTTTAATATTGTACTACTTCATCTGAGAGTGCCTAATAAGCTGAGTTCGCGGTATTTTTCATAATTTTTTTCTGACATGGGGAATTGGAGGAAAATAGATTGGAATGTGAAGTAAATTTGCCACCTTGAGACGTCATCTGACGGAATTTTCCGTTTAAACACATGTATTTTAGCAGATTTGGTTATTTTGTCATATTTTCTCCAATAATTGTTCAATTTAGAAACCACGGATGTCCTCGTACTCAGTTTTCCGATCAGTATCATTTTAAAGATGATATTCACAAAATTTAAGACACTCACAAATTCTCTATTAAGTCAATGGGTCACCAAACCTTAAATTGTTTATTTTAATTAATATTCTGAAAATCACTAGGTGAGTAGATAAGGTGGTGATTTTTCCGCATTTCTATGGAGCCGAAATCGCGGAGAAAACCGCTCTTGAAAACTCTGAAAACTGCAAGGCATTTCAAACACACCCGAATGGCGGGAAACTAATGGTGGTGATGTAGTTCGGTGGTCAAATCGCAATCTTCTCTCATTTTCCACTCTGCCGTGATAGCGAAGAGAGCCGTAAGTGCAAAAATGAAGTTCTGAGAAAACGGGCTCAGAGGCTTCTGACCGGAAAATTTTGTTGAAAGAAGCCTCCGTTCTTTGTCAAATTGCCATTAATCGTCCGGAAGACTCCTAGAAATCGTATGGATGATTAAAAATTGACTGGTTTTATTTCCATTACATAAAAAGGGTATTTTTCATTTTCTTGCTAGGTTATTGTTAGGCAAGACAGCCGTAAGTGCTATCTTCTGCATGCTTTCGTGGTTGCGTTTTGGACGCACAACAAACACATTTTCAGGTTAGAAAGCGGCAGATGAGGGCCGCAGTCCTCTTGAAAGCACTGTTTTCATTGGCTCTCATGCACCTACGGCTGTCTTGAAAAAAACTATGTCATTTTCTGTGCACTTACGGCTTTCTCATAAGTCTTGTTTTCATTACATTAGGATGAATTTTGCTGTTTCAGCTGTCTCAGTAATTTCATCTAAAAGAGTTTAAACGAATTTTGAAGAAAACTCGATTTCGAAAATGTTGCACTTACGGCTCTCTTCGCTATCACGGCAGCACTGACGCAACATGTGTTAAAATAAAACGTCTTTCTTTGCGAAATTATTGCTTGTCCACTGAAGATAACATAAATGAGATTCGATTCTTTAATTCAAAAGATATAAGTTCGACACTAGTTGTGTTCTCACATACGAGGAGTAGATAGACATTTGACGGAAGTCGTAGAACCCGCTTCTGATTAGTGCCAGATGACATCATTCGGTTCGGCGCGAAACCGGGGCGTTTTAAATTTGCGGATAAGTTGCGCAATTTGAACTGCGCATTTCTCGGTCATTGAGTTACTTTTTCGCGTTTTCAATGTGCGCATCGTGTTTTACGCGTCATTTACCTTCAGACGAATAGAGTCTCTTTATACTGAGAGTCAAGACAACGCCCCCTTATGGAGTCACAAACGGGAATAAAGATTACAGGAATTGAACGTTTTTTGTAATCTTTGATCGGCCCATTCTCTTTCTTTCTCCGTTCCTTCTCTCATTCCGTTTGTTCCTTGCCGAACCCGTAATTCCCCGGTCCATTCCAGATTATAATCTTTGCAATCGGTGAAAATGTAATCTTTATTCCCGTTTCTGCCACTGTGAAGGCCTAAAATACGGGAACCGATCAGAAATGGATTCACATTGTCTTGACTCTCGGTATAAAGGGACTCTACAGATGAGCGTATTCGCAAGTCAAAATTCGTTCATAGTTTAGTGGCCCATTTGATTCATGACCCTCTCGGCATTTTCAGACAAGTCAGCGATTTTCAAACGTGGGCAGCGGCAGCTCTTATTCGCCCCCGCGTCCTGTGTATCCGCCTCCACCCTCAACTCCAAGGGACGAAGCAACCAAAAGGAGGCTGATTTCCGCACTTAGGTTCTTGATGGACAAGATGATCGACCCGTGCATGGTGCAGGCGCCAAAGGGCGCCCCTTGGCCTCGGGCAGGCTTGGACCCCGACGTCGCTAACGAAACCTGCGATACCTTCTGCAAAGTTCTCAGCATCTCGGCTAAGCTGAACACTGACGACCGCCCTGAAATACAGGCCTGTAAGAAACTACTCGGCACAGGGGGGTGTTTCGGAGTAACCTGCTCCTGCCACCTTTCCGCTAAGTCCGAACGACTCCTGTGGGGGTTAAGTAGCGAGACGCCCATGTTCGCTGCTCATAATATTCTCCGCTTTAAATGAGGCTCACGTGGAGTCACACTGTTTAAGTAGAGTCCCTTTATACTGAGAGTCAAGACAATGTGAATCCATTTCTGATTGGTTGCCGTATTTTAGGCCTCCACAGTGTCACAAACGGGAATAAAGATTACATTTTCCCCAATTGCAAAGATTATAATCTGGAATGGACCGAGGAATTACGGGTGCGACAAGGAACAAACGGAATGAGGGAAGGAACGGAGAAAGGAATTCGAGAATGGTCCGATCAGAGATTACGAAAAACGTTCAATTTGTGTAATCTTTATTCCCGTTTGTGACTCCATGAGGGGGTGTTTTCTTGACTCTGAGTATAAAGGTACTCTATGTTTAAGGTGATTCGATGGACGCCATATTTTGCGGCAGAACGGCATGCGATACATCGCATCAATTGGTTCCATTTCTTTAGCCACTCGTCATTTTTCTCGAATTTTAAGATCGCAATTCTTTTGTCAGCGGGCCGATTGTTGAATCGTTATCGAATGAGTTTGATCGATAACTCCCTATCTTAGCAATGCTTTTTATCGATCAAGGTCATTCGATAACGATTCAACAATCGACCCGCTGGAGACTAAAGCACTCACTTAGCAATTTTAACAAAGAAATTCAACGTAACAAAGGCCTGGTTTTTTTAGAGAGAAAACATCGCATTGGATACTGATATCGGAACCACACTCGAATGCGATATTTTCTCTCTAAAAAACCACGCATTTGTTACGTTGAATTTCTTTGTTAAAATTGGTAAGTGAGTGCTTTAGTCTCCCGTCAACAGAATTGCGATCTTAAAATTCGAGAAAAGTGACGAGTAGCTAAAAAATGGAACCAATTGATGCGATATATCGCATGCCGTTCTGACACAAAATATGGCGTCCATCGAATCACCTTAAAATGGCAATTTCAGTAATTACTAGGGTTGTCTGGAAAGTCAGTTTATCTATTCGCTGTGTCCTAAACCAAGAACCAAGAATGTTACAGGAAATCTGTAAAAAGTGTTGAAAAGCCAATTTTCTCAGATTTCTAAAGCGCGATTTTAAATTTGGTTCTATAGATGTCTAGAAAAATGAATTATCCTAAACCCACCTCCTCTGCGTGAACAGGTCTAAAATTTAACTCAGTGTCGACTATGAAATTAAATTTAGGGATCTATAGCGCGTTAGAAAGCCCGGAGTAGTGGTTTTTTCAATGTTTTACCCAAATTTGTTCTATTTCTCTTAAAGAGTAAATACTGGAAAAAGGGGAGAGCTACTGAAAAAGAGGGAGGACTCGGCTGAGATGGACCGAGGATGTAGAAAAGGAAATTAGAGCAATGAGAGTGAGGCTATAGAGAACCAAAATACTTGACAGAGTGCAGTGGCGGGGAATTGTTGTGGAGGCCAAGGCTCACATCAGGCTGTAGCGCTAGAGAAGAAGAAGAAGAAGAAGGAGTAAATACTGAATAGGTAAACTTATACTTTTTGGATGACCCTCGTATTTAATCCTAGTCCAACAGACTCGGGTTTAAAGGACCTGGGTCTTCGTCTTCGGAGTCGAAGGCAAGGGAAAAGCAGAGGTTGATATGAAGGAGAGAGATGAGAAAGAGAGAGAGGAAAGAGACAAAAAGTAGAGAAATTCAAAATTCTTGATTAAGTAGTACCGTAATACGCTAAAATGATCAATATGATACTATAAATTTTGTATTTTTATTATTTTATTATTTACAAGTAGATTTCACTTGCGCACATGGGCTGGAACTGAAGAAGCTTTCAGCATCCATGTATGTAAACGCCAAAGGCCAATAGTCAAAACCGGCATTTAGCGAAATGCCTAAGTAATAGTCAATAAATTCTTAAATATCCATGGTTTGGCCTAGCCATTTTATCAAATTCCTAGGTGTTTTGTCAAAAGCCTAGGCGTTTAATAAAATGCCGGAAGATGCCTGGGCCTTGTTAGGCAGATATTTAAATAAAATTGTATGTAACAATTTCTGTGTGAGATACTGTTTAGCAACTGTGTAAATGTTACATTTGTGGTATACCGTATGAGAGTTTTTATGACAAAATGTATGAATATCATAAGCAGACTAGTGGCGTGGCGTGAATTGCGATGTATCGATCGTTCTGTCATTTAAACCTATGGTAAAGAATCGATTATTAAGGTGTTCGCTGCGAACACCCTGTTTATTGATCCCTTTCCACAGGTTTAAATGGCATAACAATCGATATATAGCTAAGCACGTCACGCCTCTGAAGCAGACTGGGGATGGCGGGCGGAATAGAGTGTTGCTTCAGGCGCCGCCGCACGGCGGCGCCTGAAGCTATTACCTACACAACAGAGGTGTTGCACAGTATTATACGAAATTGAACGTATTAAGAATGACAGACATCCTTTAAAAGTACAGATCTTTCCTCGCATTATAAATCAAGATACTTATCGTACACAGGAAAAATCTAAGAGCCTTTAGCTGAGGCAAATATAGAGGTTTATCCGGTTCAGATATAACAAGGTGGGAATTTCTTGAAAGATAGTTAAGTCCTGTTACACCAAAGAGGTGTAGAGAGTTTTAGTGAATTTCGTCTCATGGAGTTGACGCTCCCCCATATTTTTACCGAAACTCTCAACTATATATTATTCTCCGTTGGACCAAACAGACAAAACAAAAAAACAAGCAAACCCTCATTCTTCCAAGACATTATACATTTTCATCCAAAAACGTCGTGAACAATTGTCGTTTGTATTTACATGTGGGCCAATTATTAACTTTAGGTCTCAACTGGCACGAGGACCAAAACTCCCGTGCCGAAAAAACGCGTGGACGTAAATTACTGGAAAAAACAGGTGCGCGGACAAAAATTGTTAACGAAATGTCCTATAACCTTACACAGTAAAGTGACTAATGAAACATTTCAACGCAAATTCATGTTTTAAGGGTTTTTAAGGTTCCTAATAGCATTTATCGCTCTTTCCATACTTTAGGGTGGAAGGAAGGGGAAGGGGGAGGCCGACAAAAATCAGACAGTCAAAAATTCGTAATGGTCAACAATTTTCTTGAGCCCAGTAAATAATGATAATCTTTTTACAACCGTTCACACATTCAGCCTAAATAGGACTGGTTTTAAACCAATTTGGCAATGAATATGAAAATTCTACCATCACATGGCACCTAAGTTTAGAGTAAGTTGACCGTCGCTGACACCAATATATAACCGATGAAATTTCAATTTCACTGTTAGACTTTAAGTATTGCAATATCGTATGATTGAAGTCACTCTGATAACTAAATATTGACTTCTTTAAATACAGCCATGCCTAATTTAGTGTTACACCCCTTTTAAAAGCTATTGTTATTGTATAAATAATGTGTTATCTTCGGTAAGTAACGGTATCCTGATCTGTGTACGATTCGGTTCTTGATATTGCGTTATTTTCATACCAACATTAATGTTTGATCGAATTAGCAAATTCTATATAGATTCCTCCTCCACCTCTGAGATATCGCCCTGGAGCACGCAAGATTGCATAAATTACAGTTCAACAGTGAAGTTGACATTTCATCAGTTATATTAGTGTCAGTGACGGTCAACTTACTCTAAACTTAGGTGCCATGTGATGGTAGAATTTTCATATTCATTGCCAAATTGGTTTAAAACCAGTCCTGTTTAGGCTGAATGTGTGAACGGGTGTAAAAAGATTATCATTATTTACTGGGCTCAGGAAAATTGTTGACCATTACGAATCTTTGACTGTCTGATTTTGGTCGCCCCCCCCCCTCCCCTTCCTTCCACACTAAAGTATGGAAAGAGCGATAAATGCTATTAGAAACGTTAAAAACCCTTAAAACATGAATTTGTGTTGAAATATTTCATTGGTCACTTTACTGTGTACCGTGGTTCCTTAAAACCCCTATATCCGATTTTCGCGGAAATTGGAGGTCACCTCAAAGAAGCATCCGAAAAATATGGTTGTACCGGTTTGTACCATTTGTGCTTTGGTATATGGTATCTCTAGGATATATGCTTCCTAAAAGTACCAAAGAGAACCGCGCAACGAACCGCAATGACACTTTTCCAGTCTACAAAATTCTGAAAAATTCATTTTTTAAGGCTTATTTTTCGGGCAACTTTGATCTCATGCCCTGCAGCTAAAAATCAATATTTTTGGGATCTGCAAAAACGAAAATACTTGTCATACAATGCAGTTTACCAGTCAGATGCATATAATGGTGTGAGGCTCACGAGTGCACTGTGAAATAAGTGACTATGCAACGCGCGCCTCAGGTTGTAGAAATCTGGGTTCATCACATTCCACATGCTGAATATCTATCTACGTGGAAACCGCGGGAATAATGAATATTTTAGATATTCTCATGTAATTTCGTTATCAGTAGGTGTCTGAGCATCGATTAAGATGCCTCTGATGAAGAAAAAAAATGTCGAAAAATTGAGTTTCGCGCCGCTACGGACACGATCTGGCCCATAGTGGGACGGAAGATGGAATATTAAGGGGGTCCCCCTTATCAAGGGGGTTAGAAAGTACAGAGAGACAGCCCATCAACGAAGATTTAGTTGGTGGTGGTGGTGGGGGTCCGGATAAGTTGGAAAATTGAGACGTCTTAAGAGCAATGTGAAGTTTCGAGTACCGAAAAATTGATTGAAATACAATTTCAGATCACTATATTTGGTACACAGTAGTTTCGTTGTTTGAATTGATCATGATTACGGTCGATAATAACAAGAATTAGCTCTCGTCCAAACAGTCCGAAACTCTAGTGTTCCGATTGCCACTATTTTGGTGGTATAAATTCTATAATTATAAACGTTTTCTGTTGAAAAATCTAATTCAGATATTTCGACTCAACTGGACGAATTTGCTCTCCTGGAAAGTACCTAGGTGTCTTTTTTCACTTGAACACCTTTCTACGTGGATTTTTTATTTAAGAGTTTCTACAGAGCAAAAGGCTCCTTTGACGTCTTGAACGACTTTAATGTCAAAACTCGAGAAAACCTGCAATTTAAAAGCTTACAAAACAGCAATTCTCAGCTGAGGGTATTGATGAAAAAACTTGCGCATCCTTCAACTTTTCCCTCGTCCAGTCATGATTGCTTCGCATGAAACTTAAAATGAATCCAAACCCTCGGGCTCTTCCTAGAAACTAACGTC